AGGAAACCAAACTGAAGTCCTGCACACCGTTTGTGCAGTTATTCCTGTTGACCATTCACATCACATACTCAAAATCGAATTACATTAACCATATGAGTTCTGGCAACGCCGATGAGTCGGGATCGACGTTGGAACGCCGATGGGAAGACGCCGTGGGTTAGCCGCTCTGCTATTGCCGCATTCCGCTTTCACCAGTGACCGAACCCAATTCTGGGAAGGAATGCCGGCAGAGTGCCCTGCCTGTCCGGGGCGCGTGGGCGACGGTGGTCGAACGGGGGAGGGCTGCGACGGCACATTTTGACTTTTTGCTTTTGACTTTTTGTCTTTTGACTTTTATCCGTTTTGACTTTTATCTTTTTGACTTTTATCCCGTTTGACTTTTTGCATTTGACTTTTTGTCTTTTGACTATTTGTCTTTTGACTTTATTCCTTTTGACTTTTTGTCCGGTTACCGAGACGGGACGCAATCCTTGGCCTGGTTGATTGATTTGTCATCACTTCTGTCATGCCAACAGAATCCGGATGATATCCCTTCCATCCGGATGAATCCCCTCCATCCGTTCCTACTACATAGCACGTTAAATGACATCTAATGTCAAGCAATGTCCCAAATCCAATTCGGCGGTCGGTATCAGGATCTCCATCTTTATTCAAGGGAGGCAGACCGCAGCTGACGCATTTCTGGAATCCCTCTGAGTCTCCTTCATTCAACTTTTGTATCTGGTATCCTATTGATAGAAGTGATGCAACTCGCCGTTGTTATTCAGTCGCAAGTGCTTATCTAAGTAGAGTCTAGCCAATGTCAGCATTGTCATATCCCATGCTATGTTATCACTCCCTCCCTCCCTCTCTCCCTCTCTCTCTCTCTCTCTCTCTCTCTCTCCTCTCTCTCTCTCTCTCTCTCCCCCACCTCTCACCATTCTCAACCTCACTCGACCTTGAACTAACACGAGGTCACCTGCAGAACATCACACATCAGTGCGTGTCGAATACCAACATCTAAACCCTGCGGAACCGGATGAAGCCCGCTGCTGCATAAATCGGCGCTGGCCGCCGGATATTGGAGCTCTGCTGTAGCCTAGCGATGGCTCGTGTCGGGCTGGTCGAACGGCGGCCGACGCCGCCACCGCCGCGGGAAAGGCCGACTGAACCGGACGGTGGCGGTGTCCAAGTAAGTCACCAGGTCAGCGGCGTCGGCGGCGCGGCTGCGCGGCGGTACCGGCCGGCGGCCCGCGGTGGTGAGTGGCGCCTGTCGGCCGCTCGACTGTCACTGACTGCGAGTGTGGGCTGTCGATAATGAGCGCAGAGGCGTGTCGAGAGGGTACTGTCAGTGGGGTGACTGTCACTGGAGGCATATGAGTGTCAGGACGGTAAAGTTAGCGGGGTGACTGCTACTGGACGTATAGGAGTGTCAGGACTCAGGAGGGTAAAGTTAGCGGGGTGACTGCTACCTACTGGACGTATGGGAGTGTCAGGAGAGTAAAGTTAGCGGGGTGACAGTGTCGCTGGGAACAGAGGAGTGTCAGATTGGTTCCTGGTTAGATTATCGGCAGGAACCGTCAGCGGGAGTATCGGTCAGGTCAGATCAGCCATTGTCACTGGGTGCAGCGAACTCACATCAGGTGACCTGTGTGGTGAGACCAGGTATAATCAGTCTGCCTTGCTGTATACAGTACCTATAGCTAGCAACGTGTAACGGTGCACTAGCGATGGTATCAGTCAGTTCACTGTTCGGTCAGCGGGCTCACGCAGAACAGGTGACGCGGACGCCCCCACTACTCTGAAAGATACCAGCTGTCATTTTACCGAATCTGCAACCGAGCACATTGATCGAATGGTGCCGTCAATCTTTTGGGCAAGAGGCGATAGATGCAGACGTCTGATGCACTATGCGCATTACGAAGAACTTTCTGTGGTATTAAAGTAGTATAGCCACCAAAATTGAACACTGATGCAGTGACCGTCACGGTTACTCCTGCGCCCTGCTGGGGGTGTTTAAACCTCCAGCAGTTTTCGCAAATATCTCAGAAACGGCGCCGTGGAGCGCCGCTTTTTTTGGCACACCTTATCATTAGTTGTTTCTGCATACCTATGTAGTATAAATCTCAGATCAAAGGTCTCTCAATGTGACAGGTCACCAGGTCACGTCAAGTGACCTCACCTCAGAAAAAGTTACAATGCTTGCCATATAGCTTATACACTGAGTGACGAGTCGTTTTGAGACTTTCAGCAATTTATAAGGACAACAGTATGCATAAAAATCATATCTAAGAATTTTGATATCGGTGACCGACGATCAGGTCAATTATGCGCCCTATCCTTTATAAGACAATGGGATAAAATTGAAAGGCCCCTCTTATGGACGGACGTCATTCTAAGCACTCAATGGCACGCGTGACCCTCCTTATGTCCCTGAGGTCATCTCAGGTCATGCGAAAGGTAGGTTATGCAACAATTTTCGCTAATAACTTTTGATAGAGGCATGCTAGAGCGATGAAAACACATTAGATGTGTTCAGCTGGACGATACGGATCGATTGATATGCAACACGACCTTTTCCGGTCCGGTCATGACCTTGACCTGAGGTCAAATAACTAAGTTGACCTTTCAAGGTCAACTTTTAGTTCGATCGACGCGTCCCGACAAGAGGAACACGATGCCAACAAACAGAAAGTATACCATTCGACGTGCCTGAGCATGGCCAACATGATATTGCCAAAATCGTGGCTCTGCGACAATTTTTGGTGGTTATTTACCAAAAACCGAAACCGTACCTTGGGGCACTTGACCTGACCTCAGAGGTCACCAGAGGTATCCTGAGACCTTGAACTTGGGTACCGATTGTTGCGTTTCGTAACGGCGTACACGCTCTTTTTTCCGCGGGGCTCATAGCTCAATAGGCGTGAAACGGCGAGGTTGTCGTACCCAAGATTACTTTACTACTCGTCGTACCTGCCCCCGTCGGCACTCGGCTGGGATGTATGTAGAAAACTAATAGGTCCGGCGAGGGTTAACATTTTGGAACTGCGTCAGCCTGTCAAAAAAAAAAAAAAAAACAGCATTCACTTCCGTGCATCTTATGTATATTTGGACGTGCATTTCTATCGACATGACACATATCACTGGTAGACAACCAATATCGGAGTCTCAAAACAGCTCCCCATCCAACGCGTTGTACTGGTACTAACAATACAGGCAGAGGTAAGTACAAAGAAGGCATCATGTAACAATGGTAACTTTCGTACACAGCATTGACAGCAAGAAACATAGAAAATATCAGAATATTCATAATAAGAATGCGTTGCAGCGTGAATATTCGACACTTGCACAGTGTATGACATTCCGTAAAAAAACGACTATTAAACGTTTCGTGATTCGTTAATTTTCTGTGGCTGTTTGTTTCACGTTGTAAGAGAGCGCGTGAAACAAATATCTAAAAAACTTTTAACTTTTCTTTGTTTCCGGAGTGGTTAGTGATAAGATTGGAAGGCGGTTTCAAGGCACTAGAAAGACACGTTGTTATCTCGACAGTTACCTTGTGAAAGTCCAATCACACTCGACATTATCAGACACAGTCGCGGCAAGGGACACTCGATTGAAGTCCCTATGCAAGTAACGGTATAACAACAAAAAGTTGGCCTGTCGTTATAATGCATCGTACATAAGCTATTGTAAACAACAAATGCTGTCACTTGCTGCTTCATAAGGTCGAAATTCGGCATTCCCAAATGAATGAGAGTTCAACTTCGAACGGCCGGTGCCAACAAATGTCAACAGAATTCACCCTGAATTTTGCAATGAGTCTTCACCGTCAGAAAAAATCGTACCCGTCGGTCGTCACATAAATCGTAATATAAATATCATTCACAATAACAACTGATCATGCAGCTCCATTCAAAGATCATGTGTAAGTCACGTCATATCAGCCACCGACCAATGCGTGAACTTTCAATGTAGCTTAATTTACACATTCCATGACTCATCCCATGCATTACGCGATTATTCAAGTCGAAACGTACCCTTTTCCGTGTCCCTGTTCGTAGTCGTGTACGGTCCGGTTGCATGAAACTGATTCAGTACCTCTTTACCCGGTCTCATTTATAAAGCAAATCAAACCCTAAGACTGCTGCTGGGACATTGGTAACGTAGGTTTCTGATGAGTTTCGACGGAGCGGGAGTCAGGACGCAGCTCTTCAACATATAGTTCGAGTGCTTCGCAAGCATCACGAGCTAAACAAAAACCGTGAACAGCACCAGCGCTCACAGCGGCGATAGCATACAGCTGTCGTTCAGCTCACTGCCATAGGTGTCGCTGCAGCTGCACCACACACTCGCCTTCCAGTGCTGGTAGCGCCCCGCGTGCGGGGCTCCTCACGACCGGCGCTGGTTATGGCACCTTCACGTCGCGCTGTCCGCCGCCCGCCTACGTGTTGATGTAGTTGTTGATCCAGGGCATGAACTTGGCGATGTTGGTGTAGACTCCTGGCAGGCCGGCGCGCGCGCAGCCGATTCCCCAGCTCACCAGACCGATCAGGGTCCGCCGGCCTCCCTTGTATAGTGTCAGCGGGCCACCGCTGTCACCCTGGGAGAGATGGAATACAGTAAACCGTCAGTATTCTGCAGAGACGAGCTCACTTGCAGGTCCGGGGGAGGGGGCATTTGGGGCAACTCTCCACCCTCGCGGCGCCTGAAATCAACGAAAATATACGGTTAAACGGTAATACCTAAAAATATGTATATTTTTCTTAGAGAAAGTTTGTTTTAAACTGCATTGCAATACCGCTGGGGCAATGAAGTCCGATGTAATTGGAAATTGGAGAAACTTTTTTATGGGTATGCACCCCGCAGAGACCAAGACCGCATTTTTGGATCCGCCAGTGGACGAGCTCATTGGCGGCGGAACGTAGTGGGCACCGGGGCACCGTGCTCCCTTTGATTTTGCCATTTTAACATTAGCCCTATGGGCGTTGCATGGAATAAATGGGACCAAAAGTCGGCAGTGTCCCCCCCCCCCTTAATTGAAGGTGTTCCGCCGCTACTGGACGAGTTACGTTTAACTGGGACGTTAATAGCATAATGGACGTTTACCAGCGAAGAACTCAAGCTTGTCAAGGTTTAGGTACTTATGATACCGATAGGTGGTTAATGGTTACAATTTTTAGCTATGGATTACGCACAATGCAGATTGCAGCATCCAGTTAAGGGTTGAATATTTTCAGATGATACAATTTACAGCTTACTAACTACATACATACAAACACGCGTCCAAACCACCGACTGACATTCGACAACATTCGAGCAAAATGCAAATCGTCTCTGGCCAGAGGAACTGAGACGCATCGGAAATACGACCCCCGAGTCACGACCCCGGGCTGTCGCCGAGTGCCCCCCCCCCACCCCTACCCCCTCCCCCTACCCCCTCCCCTCCCCCAGGCGGCGCGAGCAACAGCGCCCGGGGCGGTTATTGTCTCCACCAATCAGCGCTCAGCGAAGCGTCGGGAAGACGCATGGATGCCGGCAAACAGTGCCCCCTGGCGCACAAAACATGACAAGTGATCGGCGATTTGGCGCCAGTCGCGAGCCCGGATGGTGGAGGTTGGTGGTGTGGGATCGTGATGTGATGGATTTGGAGACTGACAAGTGACAAGTGATCAGTGATGAGCACTGTGCAGTGAAGAGGGCTGCGTAACATCGGTGTGTGAATCAGTGCAGTGGATATCAGTGTGTTCATCAGCTCTCTGAGCCTCTATCGCAATCGTGGGAGAGAGCAGATTCTGAGACTGCATTTGGATGGAATGGGAATGGAAAGAACATCTCATGGGAGCAGCCTCTTCAATTGGTGATGTACCGAAAATCAAACGTAAGCGAGATGAAATGCCACGGATTTTGACTCGATTTGAATCAAACATGTTTTGTCATGCAATAAGAACTAAGAAGGCTACTGCAATGCCCAGTTAAATTCAGTACGATCTCACTTCACATTATTGTTTTGTTAACACCGTCCGTTATGATGCACATTCTAAATCACTAATCGATATTTGATCTCTAGTCACCCTGTGGCATCTCATCTTGGCTGATGTTTGATATGAATTTTGCTGTCCAAGTGTCCACTGTCCAGTGTCCAACATATCACATGACACCTTATGTAAACCCGTGATACACACACACTCTACGCCCTGTCCCAGCGAGACAGCGCCGTGCCTCACTGCTCACGTCACCACTGTCTCGGCCTCCGAGAGAGCTGGAGGCAGCAACGCGCCTCCCTATATACCCTGCCTCCGGGAGGCAGTGCCGTGCCTCTCTCTACGCCCTACCTCAGGGAGACAGGCCAGCGACTTTCCTGATTCCTCCCTCTCTCACTCTCTATGTCTCTACCCTGCCTTCGTGAGACAGCGCCGTAACCCGTGGCTCCCTCTTCGCGCTGTCTCCGTGGGACAGCGCCGTGCCTCCCCTGCGCCCTGCCTCCGTGAGACAGCGCCCCATGTCTCACCTGACAGCTGTCGCGTCCTCCGTCCTTGTAGCCGGCGCAGAGGAACACCTTGTGGATGACCTCGCGTCGGCCGGCGCCCTTGTACCAGTTCTGACAGGTCTGCTGGTCAATGACCACGACGTCCACCTCCTGAAGCACGTTCGGGGTGGACGCCACACCTGCCGGGGGGGGGGGGGGAGGGGGAGGGGGTCAGCCGGGCCAGTCTGGGAGGAGAGGGTTGTTTGAATCTCGAGCGGTGCAGTGTTAGTTCAGATGCTCGAATTAAGTCGGTAGGTGATACATACATGAATTGAAGTGTGCATATCAGTTATCACTACCGCTAACGCTCTTACGTTCGTGCGTGATTGCTTGTTTTTCACGTAACAAACATTTTTTTTGTTTTTTGTTTTTTGCTGATGAATGGCAACTCAAGCTTATTTCTCGACTTTTTTTTTAATCGACGCAGAGTTATCAATATCATTTTGCTGGCTCATTTTTGCGCAATGTTCGCAAGAAGATCTTTGAGCCATTTAAAATAATTCTGGTTGAGTTCTCAGTGGACATAATGCAAGTCAAGACGTGGGATCGCTGCGGTAAGTGTGAATTGGTAAGTAGTATGCACAGGTGTGTTATATTCCACGACACGACAAATCGACAAATAGAAAAACTACATTTGCACCCTCATATTTTATTTTTTGCTTAAAATTGGTCTAATGGGTTGTGATGGGCGGGGAAGCCAGCTGTGGCAAGGATTTTTTTCTTCGAACAACGGTTTCCGAGATATAGCCTCGGGCTATTCCTGGAGGTCGCGCTGCAGCCCTATGTTTGGCGGCCTATAACTCAGAACTATTGGTTTTCTACGATAAAAACTTTATATGGTTCAACTCACAATCAGACAAAATTGCAACTTTCAGTGGGGAAAATATCAAGGTCACTCTTCGAAAAACGTGATCAAAATTTTCAGTTGACTCAAAAAATAAAAGTTGACCTTAAGTCACGTGATCTAAGGTCAACTTTTGACCTTTCGACCTTTCGAGGTTAACATACATATGTTTCGATGCGGATCGACGAGAGGATCACGATGGTGCTATTAGTTTGTTCCTAGCTGGGATACCATGAAAGTCATTCGAGAAAAACTTCATATATATGTAGTGCCGCTATTTTGACTTCCTTTATGCTCCTGTGACGTCATCTTTGACCTGACCTGAAAATGACCTCAGTAAAAATTATAGACCTAACCCCTGTGTACCCTGTACCGTTTACCGCTTGTCGCTATCCTGCTTTGTTCTCGAGATCTCGCTGACGCTCCCGCTCGTAATAATGGAAAGGTCATAAAAATGACCTGACCTGAGGTCAACACAGGGCGATAGCCACTTTTTTATTATTGCATATGAATGACAATTGATAAGGCTTTAATCGTCATCAGACAAAATTGCAACTTTCAGTGGGGAAAATATCAAGGTCACTCTTCGAAAAATAGGTCAAAAGGTCACGTGATCAAAATTTTCAAAAATTGAAAATAGGAGATAGCCAAAATGTTTGTTGGTTGATTGTGAGTTGAACCATATAAAGTTTTTATCATAGAAAACCAATAGTGTCTGAGTTATAAGCCGCCAAACATAGGGTTGCAGCGTGACCTCCAGGTATTGCCCGAGGCTATATCTCGGAAACCGTTGTTCGAAGAAAAAAATCCTTGCCACAGCTGGCTTCCCCGCCCATCACAACCCATTAGACCAATTTTAAGCAAAAAATAAAATATGAGGGTGCAGGGCACTTGTCGATTTGTCGTGGAACGCCCCAGGTGATCCGTGTCGCTGCATTCGCTTACTAAGCACGTTTGACTCATTTTGCCGCGGAAGACATGTCCCATTTTGTGCAGATCTACCCTGAGTTACACTTATGTTGCGACTTGCACAGCGATGCTATTCGATTAGATGGTAACAGTGCCTGTTCACAATGCATAGTAGCGGCATACTCAAGCTCATAAGCTAAGTTGCTGAAATCTGTGAGTTCAGTTATTCTCGGGACAAGCAGTTGCTTAAAAGCTGTTTTGTTAATTGCTAAGCTATAAGTTGTTTTAGCATTACGTGAGACAATTAAAGCTAATGAAGGAGTAATCTACGCTAGTGTCACCGCTTAAAAATTTCAACCCATTCATTTTTATTTCAAAGTCCGCTCCTTTTCAAAATGTCATTATACCAAAATGTCATTCAAAATGTCATGCACTTTTCTGATAACGGCGCGAAAATGAAATATATTGTGCCTTAGGTATTTTGCTAGGTGTTCTCTTTTATCGAGCTCTCCCATAATTAATTAGTTCTTTTTTACCTGCCAACCGTAAAGTCGACGTGTATTAGCTCGCATTTTTTCCTACCATCGCCCACGCCCAAGCAGGTTGACCCATGATACTTGACTCTCAATTGTCAGTTCGGCTCTTGGGTGACGTGATGATATCACTAACCGACAGGTGATGCGTTTAACGACTGCTGCTTACGCCCTGCTCCATGCCTGGCTTATGTCGGCTCATCTACGGCTCATATGACACAGGTGTGTTCCCTGTTAATGCATATGCCTTGGCGTGTCCGTTTCATGGACTATCTCAATATTCGCAGTACGTCCCCACCCAGTGGCCGTCTGGTGACCTCAAACTTCAAAGCTCGTGGTCCGTTCTCAGCCAGTGACCGGCCATGACTTTACCGTGGGCGGTCCGTCCCCAGCCAATGACCATATCGTAGCCTCACTCACCGTGCGGCGCGGTCAGTCCCCAGCCAGTGACCGTGACATATAACTCCACTCACCGTGCGCGGTGCGTCCCCAGCCGATGGCGGTGGCCGTGTCGCCGACGAAGGATTCGTCCGTGTTGGGCAGACAAACGGGCACGATGTGCTCCTTAAACACCACGTCCTTGCTCAGCTTCACCATCGACAGGTCGTTCTCGAAGTTGGACGGGTTGTATTTGGGATGCACCTGCGAGCGTCAGAACGATGGTGAGTGCCAAATCTTAGTTTCATGTAAAACATGTTGATGCCAAATATATGAATATGTGCTCAGGGGAGCAAGCCTTATACAGCGGTGCTGTATAATATGCACTATGCACTATGTATTCGTTGGGGTGCGCTTGGATGCACCTTGGACGTATACCGCACACCGCACCCATCGTGTCGACGGGTTGCACATGACAGCTCGAAGGTGCAGATGGTCTCGGAAAGGGGGGGGGAGGGTAGAGCTACTAGCCCGGGGGAGGGAAACAGCTGATAGCTCGGGGGGGGATGGTAGCTTGAGGCTCCAGAAGGATGCAGCACGGTTCCACTCACCACTTTCCGCTCCAGCGAGTAGTCCTCGTGCGGATAGCGCTCAGAGTACTCTCGGACGTTGTACTCGCCCAGCCGGATCTTCATACTCGATATGTCGGCTCTGTGGGGAGCCAGAGTTGTATCGTGAAGTTGCAGTAGTTGAAATTTTCGTATAATCCAGCTGTGGGGCTTATACCGGTGACGTTACACATTCAAAGGAAGACCTCGCAAATGGCCATCTGTCGTTCCTAAAGCGCTACATACTCGTATAAGTTCAGACTTGCACTACGGACGATTTCGCAACTGTGTGCATTGTTTCAGGCTCATGTATAGCAACATTGCTGCGGGAATTATCGCCTTTAGTACAGCGTGACTATCGAAAATTCATACTTTATACGTAAGCTCCGTTTTGTTTTATACCGGTGAATCTTGGGGGAGAGGCACATCAGACATCATCATCAGACTTTTTTTCAGACACATCTTCAGACTTTTTGCCCTAACCTAACCTAGTTACAATATAAAATTTTAGTGACTCTTGCACCGTTTGGTACCGTTGTATGTACTTAACGATTGCTATTCTCAAGTGGGCCCGTCGACCTACCTGTAAACGCAATGGGCGGCGGTGACCACCCATCGTTTGTTGACCAGGGCGCCGCCGCAAGCAATTCTCTTGGAGAAGAAGCCTTCTTTGATAAGTGCAGCCTGCAAACATGGACGTCTTTATTTAGAATGTGACACTTGAGACAGCGATGGTCATCACTGTCCGTTCCAACATCTTACTAAAGGCTACACTACATCATCCTGCTGCAGTGATAGTCCATAATTAATCAATCTAGGGACGGACCATCGCTGCTCCTCCGCCATCCCCTGCGAAGTAAACTTCATCTCTGCCCTCTCTTTCCTGCATGAGATGCTCCATCCCCGACTCCTCCCCACCGCTAACACCGTTACGTTACGCGTAACACCCACTGAACATATACAATGCCCACCTACCTGCCAGTAATGGTTCTTCCTTGCCCCTCTCCTCTCAAAAGAAATCCATCACTCCCGACTCCTCCCTACCGTTACACCGTTACGTTACGCGTAACACCCACTGAGCGTAAACGCTCACCCACCTGCCAGGGGTGCGAGCCGAACGACGAGTCGTGACCTCCGACGATTCGGTTGGTGCGACTGTACACCTGACCGCACTCTGCAACATGGAGGTGGGCGGTGAGGGACAGACACCACTCGGGTGTTGACGAGTTAGTTCACCGGGCTACAGACATCGATTGATTGTTTACTTCTTAGCAATTAGAACATGTAAGGAAAATGATACATCAGATACTAATGCATTTCTTGGCAAAGTAGATTCGATACATGCAGTAATGGACTTTTTGTAGCGCCATTATAGGTGTACGTTTGTCGAAGAGATTCACAAATTAACTCATGACGACTCGCTAACAACTCACCGACACACGACAGTTGTGCTCTGTATGTACAATTTGTGAGCGATCATGGGCGTGTAACATTTTATTCGATTGATTTATTCGCGGTTTATTATCATGACCAATGCAACAATATCACTGGACAGCTGAGATCATTATCGTGGGTGAGACATTTGGTAAGAGAAGCTGCGGTGACGGTGTTTGAAGCTGCTGCGCGCCGCCTGGAGGTCAGCTCAGGTCAGGCTGGCGGCGGGAAGGGACGCGGGTGGAGGTGCGAGCCACTACACTACCATCACCAAACATGCGTGTAGACTGTGCGCGCGCGCGTGTGTCGTCGTCGGCCCGATCTGCGGCGCTCTTACTGGCGTCTGCCGAGCTCGAACTGGGCCGGAGCGGGCGCTGCGGCCGGTCTACATGGTTACTGTCCGCGTCGGGGTCGGGTCGGAGACCGGGCCGGCTCGGCGGGGGCAGGCCGGCCAGCGGGCGGGAGGGCCGCGCTGGCCGGACGGGGGGACGGCCAGAGCCCGACACGTACCCCGTGCCGGGCCGCAGCGGCCGGAGCACCACGAACGGACGGTTATCGAACACGGGCCCGAAGCTGGGCACGTCGCCGTCCGCGTGGCCGCCGACGTGGTTGGTCTCGGGGTTGGGCTCGTCGAGGATGGGGATGATGGAGACGGGGTGCGGCCGCGGCGTGCGGTACGGCCGGCTGGGCCGCTCGGGCCGCTCGGGCCGGCCGTGGTGACCGTAGTAGGAGGGCAGGGTGAGCGCGCGCATGGTGGTGACCTGGGGACGGGGCGCCGAGCCGGCCGCGGCCAGGTCAGGGGACGGGCCAGTCGCGTGGGAAGCGTCAAAGTTAGTCGGTAAGTCAGACGATAGGGGACCAAGACCGGCTGTATCAAGAGCAATAGATGTGTTCGAGATGTTGGCACCTGCAAAAAGGAGAAAAATGAGTAGTAAGATAGCGGCTGGGTATTCCATTTCCTTATTATAACATGGCAGACCATCCGTGCATACAAGCGCAAAAGAAGGTCCATAAATTTGTAGTGGCGGAGAAACTGATAGATAATCCAAGGTGTTGAAAAGGGAGCCCTTATTTAAAATCCCTTGTAGACATAGCTAGACACAGTTGCTGAGCTCTCTCTAAAAGGTGTAGAAGAAGTTAAGCTGGCGTTAGGGAAGACAATCATTGATAACCTAAATTTTGAATGAAATTATTTTGGCTGCTTTTACTTTTTTGTTTGGCCTTTTTAACAATCCAACAGGGTTTAGGTAATGTGCTCCTTGATTATTGAAAGCCTCGACTGTGAACGTAAAGTTTCTCATGGAGTCTGTTCATTTGAACAGCCGTACTCACTATGCTGGTTACTGTTTTTTTTTTCTAGTAGGTATGTGTTTTTGTGAATTCAAAATCAATCTCATGAAATCATGAGTAGTCGAATTAGCTTATACCGGCTATGTCGTCAGGCTATTCAAACCCTTCAATGCAATCGGTTCTAGACTACTAGTTCTAGTAATTACCTGTTTCACACATATGTAGAACACAAGTGTCGAGATGAACACATCGCTGTGCCCATTCAACACCCACACAAAAGGGCCAGTTCAACGCAACAAAACATTTCCGGTCTGTTCATTCCGGGCCACGATAGCAGAGATTGACCAATGAGCGACCGCGTACGGCGCTGACATTACTCTACACGCCCACGAGCATTACAGATCACACTCGTTGTCCCTGTGCACTGTGCGTGCGTTGGACAATCGATAAAAAACGGACAAGTTCACTGGTGACGGTCGTCGCGGTCAGGCGCGGCGACCGGCACGGTTGGCTGATCCGATGGCTCCAAATCATCGCAAGGGTGGAAAGGGGAGGTTTAGACACGCGCTGGTGAAGGGCGAGTTCCCGGGAAGAGGCACCGCGGAGTGACGGTGGCACGGGGGTCAGAGTGACGTGTGACGATCTGTGACGGTGCCACTCAGTGTGCCATATCACCGGGGCCGGGCGCGTTAGACAGAGACGGTGGGAAGATGACAAACACGACAGGCAGTCATGCCAAGTGGGGGTGATTTCGAGTTTGAATATGGTGGCACTTTGTACGGTAATTTGTGTGGTACGTGCATTGGGAATGGAAGAGAAGTGGTGTGTGAGTTGAGTTATCATAGTTTCGGTTGGGCTTAAGTTCAGATTTATCTTTTGTTTTATGTTTCATACATGCTAACATCGGAATCGATGGCAGCGCTAGATCATGACGAGTATTCGTGAACGTTCCCTCCAAACAGCCTTCAAAGTTTCCTCGACACTTCACGACTTGATTCATCTCGGTTCTGTCTTGTTCCTCATGTTGCTTTTTTGTCACAATTATTACATCTTTCCGTCTTCATTTGGTCAGCTTTCTGGTACTGCAGATGCGTAATCGTTTTGCGCACGGCAGCGGCTCTTTGCATAATGCATATGATATCCATTTCACTCTGAGCCCGTACAGCTGCCCTCTACGTTCCACACCGCGCTCGATGACCATGAATGACAAAATGAAGTGCGAGCGACCAGTTGACTTAGCTTGAGTCTCCGCCCACTACCATTTTTATAGGAAGAACATATCTTATGATGGCCAATTTGTTTCCTGATCTTGCAAAAAATATGTTGCACTTCTTCCTGACCTTTGTTTCAAGACCTAAGACAGTGTAACAACGACTACTGGTTCCACAGACCGCTGATGCCCAGGTCCATACACAACATGGTGAAGCGGAATTCGTGGAACTTCTTTTTGCGAGACTGCCTACGATGCGCTCCCTCCGTTCTTGCTCTGTGCGGCGCCGTCCTCCTCTCCCACCCCCAGCTGTCCTCTGTCCCCTCCCGGCCGTGTCACCCCGTCCGGCCGGCCGCGCCCCTGGCGCCCACTCACCGGCGTTAGACACGGTGGCCTCGGCGGCGTAGTCTTTGTCGGCCACGTCTCTGGGCACGCAGCAGCTCCAGACCATGCCGCCGTCGCACAGGTCGATGGCCTTCCTGCCGCGCAGCACGCAGCCCACGCTGACGCCGCAGTCGTACTGCGAGCCCCTGTAACTGCACTTCTGCGGGATCACTGCAAACGAGGACCGCCCCGGTCAGCGCGCCGGCCTCGCACCCCGGCGGTACCCCCGGCGGTACCCCGGAGGCACCCGGAGGTCCAGGACCAGTCGGCCGCTGCCGCCGCTGCTGCTGAAGCTGCTGAAGCTGGTGATGTTGGTATTGAGGTCAATGATAGGTCAGTCAGAGGTCATAGGTGGAGTGGGGGGAGTCTGTGGAAGGATTTGGTCGTTGCTGTCATATTGTGGGCTCCTTGGAAACTGAATAACTAGTAGAATGTAGATTATTTGGTGTCTTTTTCGGAACACAAATGTTCTGAGGTTCTATCGGAGAAGAGCCTTCCCATAAACTTTTTTACGTCACTCGACGTAGATTCGTTTCAAACAAGGAAACGCATACCTTTACTAGTCGAGTTTTCCTGGCTCCACTTTTGGCTTTCGTTGCTTGTACACTCGGGGGCAGATTGATGTTCTACAACTCTTTATCCACCGGGTTCCTATGGCTCAGCATTGGCAGCAGCCGCCTGGTACCGGTAGACTGTGCCGCTTCACTTATTTGTCAAGCGGCACAGCCTACCCACCCGTATGACACCGGTCTGGGTCGGTGGCTGGAAGGTGATGTGGGCCGCCTGTGACGTCAGCGCAGCGGTGAGGGCCGAGCCCGGAGGCATGGCTCGGGTCGGCGCGGCGCGGCGGCTGGCGAGGGCTGGGGAGTGAGGTGGGGTGGGAGCACGGACATCGCGCGGCTGAGCGAGTGTAGTTAACTTTCGCGTCTCAAGGCGACAGTTATTCTACCTAACAATTGTGCTAAAGCAGTTGTTAAAATGTCCTATCCCCAAGACAGCGCCTATCATCATACTTGCAATGCACATTACGACACACTTTAGCGTGGCAATGGGACAGCCAATAGAACTTATGTCACTCGTGCATCGAGGTGCGGAGCTATATTTTGTAGGTATAACATATTAGTATTAAGGCCTTGATTGAGCAGATTGGTGTCTATTGTTTCGCACGGCAATCGTCCAGAGACGTGGGAACTGGGGGTTATGAGTAGTGCCGCAGCCAACGCCCCAATTTAAAGCGATTATTACTGTTCCTCTATTATGTGGTCACAGCCCCCAATAGCAAACCGTTCTAACTAGGAGCCAAAAAGTCGGCCGCTCAGGGGGTTCGAACCGGGCTTCTCTCACCGACCAATTCACGACACGAGCGTTCATCCATTGAGCTACCGAGAATGGTGCTCGTCTGCACAAAACAAAATGACATTGACCCGCTGACCGCCAATGACAGTATTGTGACATTTGATCGCGTTTGACCGCCGCGGGTGGTCGCTGGTTTCGGCAGCTCAGTGGATACACGCTAGCGTCGTAGGGTGACCGGTTGGAGAAACCCGGTTCGAACCGTCTCAGGTGCGCGAATTATTTGTTCCTAGTTGGAACGGCTTGCTATTGGTGGCTGCGACCACACATTAGAGGAACAGTAAGAATTGCTTAAAGTTGGGACGCCGCGCTATCCAAAAACCCCAGTTCCCACGTCTCTGGACGATTGCTGTGCGAAACAATAGACACCAATGAGCTCAATCAAGGCCTTAATACTTATCTGTTCTAAACAATGTAGCTCCGCAACTCGATGCGCGTGTGATATAAATTCTATCGGCTGTCCCAATGCCACGTTTAAGTGTGTCGTAAGGTGCATTGCAAGTATGATGATAGGCGCTGTCTTGGGGATAGGACATTTTAACAACTGCTTTAGCACAATTGTTAGGTAGAATAATTGGCGCCTTGAGACGCGAAAGTTAACTACACTCGCTCAGCCGCGCGATGGTCCGTGCTCCCACCCCACCTCACTCCCCAGCCCTCGCCAGCCGCCGCGCCGCGCCGACCCGAGCCATGCCTCCGGGCTCGGCCCTCACCGCTGCGCTGACGTCACAAGCGGCCCACATCGCCTTCCAGCCACCGACCCAGACCGGTGGCATACGGTGTGGGTAGGCTGTGCCGCTTGACAAGTAAGTGAAGCGGCACAGTCTACCGGTACCAGGCGGCTGCTGCCAATGCTGAGCCATAGGAACCCGGTGGATAAAGAGTTGTAGAACATCAATCTGCCCCCGAGTGTACCTACCAATGCTTGGGTCTACAAAAAGGTTCGAACTCCAGTGGTAACATCCATATGCTTCGATTGTTTGGTGGCTCCTCATTTAGTTCAAAAGTTGATTTTTTATTATCGTCTGAAAATCGCGATTATTTCCGCGGAACCCCCTCTCCATCTTTTGGTGTTATTATTTTATTTTTATAAGACCGAAACTATATCGCTTTGCTTGATTTAAACTTATATCAAGTGAGGTCGGGTTTGTGTTCAGTTAAAAAAAAAAGCAAGCCATGTTTTTGTTGCTCTCTAGAGCCATGGTTTTGTCATTTATCTAAAAGGTAGTGGCCCACTTACAAAAAAGATGAAATGAAAAATAAACTGGCGTACCTGTGGTCAATACCCCATGAATTGGCTAGAAACTCTGTTTGGGAACATATAATTGGAACAGGTAACGGATTAACTGAGCTTATGAACACTCATTGCGGAATCGCGGATACCCTACTCTGGCTCAAAAGAGTAAAGGTGTGGCATGATGTTTCAGCAATGTTGTGAAAATAAACATGTGTTCTTACCGCAAAGGAAGCTTATTTCACCAACGTTTACATATATAATAATTTAACTGGAGTGTTCAGCTGGAGTGAGTGCTGTTGGAGAGCTGGAGTGTTACATTTAAACAATGAAAACGGTGGAGGTGGCGAAACAAGTCACAAGTGCATTGTTATCATAGGAAATTCCCCAGTCTTTGTTCATAATCTCGTCCCTACATCTGGCAACATACCCTCGTGCGTCTCAGTGCAAGGTGATAAGTAATTATTCTTGGTCGGATTTGTGTGGCCCAAACTGAAAAAGCAATGATGAAACAACTATCATTCAATTTTGAACCTATGTTGACCTTATTTTACCAAACTGTGCTGCACCAAATTGTAGCCAGATGTGTAGTCCGTCGTGAAAGCGGATAGGATCTAAGCGGCTACCATCCTGCGCCGTCCAGGCAGCTCGGAACCCCTCGGCGACTGTCACGCCCCGCTTCCGCACAAAGAGCTGCCGCCCCTCCCCGTATGCCGGTGGCAGGGCGCGCTCCGCTGCACCCCGGAGCACAGCCGCGACGAGCCGTGACGCTCGGTTACATCAGAGGCGACGTGAAAGGTCCGCACGGCGGCAGTGGTCGGTGACGACCGTCACATTTGACCCACCGGCGCAACCGCGCCGCGTGCGCGCGTCACGGAGCGTGTCACAGAGTCGCGTCACGGGCGTTGTCAGCCAGCAAAGTGGCTTCCAGTCTGTGCTGTCACGGGTCCTGCGTTTACGGTCTCGGGTCTGCAGGGGTGTCGGAAGAGACGAGCCGCTTGCCGAGACTGTAGCTCAGTGGCGCCGTGTTGAATGGAGGCGCCCGTGATGAGCTACCGTGCTTGCGAAACTAAATACACCGCTGTTCCATGGGCTATGCTGAAGTCTGCCACCATTCTACAACTACTGAAGCCGTTATTTGCGCGCTGTTTATGGTCCAAAAGCAGCTGCAAACTAGTTATGGTTTAGTGTTTAGGGTGGATGGTTAGGTTCCTTGCCTACCGGTCCCCCGTCGGAGAGTTGGCAATAAAACGACTTGAACAATAGCTCTAAAACAATCCCGAATGTGTATCAAAAAATGGACAAGCATTAACGGAGAACGTATACTAATTAATATGCATGGAAATGTAATAGAAGACAATAATTTTCAGCTTCATTCATGTCCATTGCTCATCTCTTACATTCATATAGATATGGTTCAACGCAGTAAGCTAGCATAATTTACGAGTAGCATTAGCTGCTCATTCGTTTCAAGCGGAAACGTCTAACATGATTTTATCCCAGTATGACAAATTAATGGAGAGCTATGCGTCGTGAAAAAGGAAGGTACCATGAATTAGCAAAACTCATGACTCATGTGACCACCATGTCCCTTCCAAACGTTTCACCTGCGATTTATGACTGCCAAAAATAGAACATATTGCGTCACAGGCCGTTTTCCATGATTGATCAGGATACGGTTTTTGCACTTCACAAAACGATCTTACATCGGTTTAGAACTTTCTGTCAGCCTGAAATAATGAAAACTCGACGATATGCTGCTTTGATACTTTTAGCTTGATTTCTCAGTTGCCTTAGCTTCTGCCATCTCTGGGACGAAGGGACCGGGTTGCAGCAGAGTTACTTTTTCACCGGGGCCGGCTGCCACCGTTCCCTGCACCAAGCGGAACGACAGGGATAAGGACGCGCTCGTTACCAGCCGGCCGCCGCACTGTGCGGTCGGTGGTCGCGCTGTGGTAGCGCGTGATGAATGGAGCCAACGGTACGCCGGTACGCAGCGCACTGACACACACTAAACGCCTGGTCGCATCTGGGCTGTCCGACCAGCCCAGATCCGAGCTGCGCCAGCCCAGAGTGGCCCAGATCCCGGAGGGACAGATCGGGGCTACTCCTGGCGACTGGGCGGTGACTCCGAGGGAGTCTCACCGCGACATACCCGGCTGATGAATCGTGTTCCTAGACGAGTCGTCGTGGTAGTCGCGGTGCCCGTTGTCGTCGTCGAAGTGGTTGATGGAGGGTCGATGGTGACGGTACGGCCGCCTCCGACGCACCGGCGGCGCGTACACGGCCGGACCGTACCCGGAGGGCTCGTCGGTGCCGTAGGCCGGCGTGAAGAACGCCTCGCTGTCAGGTCGGTACTGACTGAACGGGTCGAACGCGTCGTGCTGCAGCGGCAGCCGGTACGGCCGGCCGTAGCCGGGCCCGATGGCGCGCTCGGAGGCGGGCCCGCCGCCGCCGTGCCGCCGGCCGCGGTGGTCCCGATCGCCGGAGAAGTCGTCAAAGTGGCGCTGCGCCTGCAGACAGGCGGCGAGCGCGGCGCAGGCCAGCGCGGCGCGCAGCAAGCGGGCCGGCATCTCACGGACGG